TTGATCTGTATCTGTATGTTGGTAGTTATGAAAATGTGAAAGGCAAATGCCTCTTAGTGATGTTTTATGGAGTCTAATTTGATTGTTGGTGATATTGTGTGACATTTGTACAATATTATTTAGTTGGTTAGCATTGTGTGCCATTTGTACAGGATTATGATTTCAATTTTAACTGCTTAAACTGGTTCATGTATTATTGTTTCAGCATTTTGTGCCATTTGTACATGTGATTTGCTTAATTTGTTCTAATTTTGTTTGTACAAAATGAAGGCAAGTATATAAAAGAATGATGTTACACATGACTGCTTGATCTGGTGATTCATTTTAATTATTTTCTTAACTGATATGTCATTTACATATCAGCAAAGGACATTAATTTGTCCACAACTGCTTGATCTGGTGCTTTGTTTTAATTATTTTCTTTAACTCATATGTCATTTACATATCAACAAATGACATTAATTTGTCCACAAGGGCAGCTTTGTCTTTCCTTCTTATTTTTTACTTCTTCATTTGTCTCAATTTAGACCACCAATGGGCACAATAGTGGTGGTTTCAACAAATTTGCTTGTTTGTTTTAATTGTGCTTATTTTGTTTTAATTGTGTTTATGTGTGAATATAATTCAATACTTCCTTTCTCCATAATGTCTACTACTTGCACATTGTTGCCACACATTGAAGTCCGTATGTTGTTCAATCTTCGTAGATGGATAACGTGCGAGACAAATTACTAATTCTCACTCTTTTGGAAGAGATTGTTCTTGGTGCTCGATTTTTTTCATAGTAGCTAGTTACTACTACCACAAATTCATACTCCCTCGCCGCCGTCGACCTTCGTTGACTAGCGGACTCACATACCGATTGAGGGATAGAGTGTCCCTTCAAGTGAGTCATATGCAAAGGCTAGTCGACGTTAGCGACACCACTTGCCTTGAGAACCTCCGTATGGACAGGAACTGTTTTGGTCGCCTTTGTTTCCTCCTTGAAAATTTAGGGGGTCTTGTTCAATCTAGAAACGTTGCACCGAGTGAACAAGTTGCCATGTTTCTTTCAATCCTCGCACATCATAAGAAAAACGTCACCTTGAAGTTTGATTTTACGAGATCAGGTAGAACCGTAAGCAAGTACTTTAACAGTGTAATTGATGTGGTAATCCGCCTTCACACCGTCCTAGTCGCCACACCTAAGCCAGTTGAGGATGATTGTTCAGATTCACGGTGGAAATGGTTCAAGGTAGCCTACTACACAACACCCTTACCAATCCTTAGTCATTTTTTTCTTATCATCTCTTTCCAAACTAATACTATTTTTTTTTTTTTTTTTGTTTTTTTCATTAGGGGTGTCTAGGAGCACTAGATGGTACATACATTAACGTGCGAGTCCCATCAAAAGATAGGGGAAGATATAAGAATCGAAAGGGTCAAGTGTCAGTTAATGTACTTGGGGCGTGCGATAGAAATATGAACTTCGTCTACATGCTTTGTGGATGGGAGGGGTCTGCTGCTGATAATCGAGTATTAAGAGATGCAATCACTAGGGAAAATTCACTCCGAGTCCCAAACGGTATTATCTTTATTTTTTAGAATAAATAGTGTAAACAACACCCCCTTAAAACATTCAATCAAACATAACACAATCGTTTACAATGCAGGACAATATTATTTGGTGGATGGTGGTTACACTAATGGTTCTGGCTTTCTATCGCCATATAGGGGTGTCAGATATCACTTAGATGAATGGGGTACAGGGTCCCGTACTCCACAAAACTTTAGAGAACTCTACAACCTTCGGCACGCCAAAGCTAGGAACGCGATTGAACGTGCTTTTGGCATTCTAAAAATGCGTTGGGCAATTCTTAGGAGTAACTCTTTTTACCCCATTAGGACTCAAAATCGCATTATCATGGCATGTGCGCTTATTCATAATTTTACACGTACAACAATGCCCGAAGACCCCATCGAGAACGAGATTCCAGAATTCCCGATACCTTCCAACCCACCGTCTGACGACGACTACATAGATCAAGTTGAAAGTAGTCCCGCAGAAGCGCGATCTCCTAGCCCAACAAATGTTCACAGAATGGCAGGGCGGTGTTCCCTAATTGATAAACAAACTTATCTTTGTGTACTTTCATAAGACTCTGTTAGTTACTAAGTATGTGTGACAAATGTTTTTTAAATTAACTTTTGTTGTTTATTATACAATATTAATGTTGTGTTTTGTGTATTTCCAGTATATTTTATTGTGTAGTATATCATTTTGTTTGACGATATTTTTTTAGATACTTTTATTTGGAAATTCTCTATTAACACAAAATAAAAATAATAAAAAAATATTGCTACAACATTATTTTTCCTACAGCAAAATTGTCATGGAACCATCAATGACATCGGGTACCGGAAAAGAGGGCGGCGCCACCTCTAAACGCCGTGTATGGACATCGGCTGAAGAGAATGCCCTAGTTAATGCTCTAAAGGATATTGTAACCGAGGGGTGGAAAACGGAAAACGGCTTCAGAACGGGCTATGCATTTCAGTTGGAAAAAAAGATGAAGACATATCTTCCCGGATGTGAAATTCGTGCTGACCCGCACATAACTTCCAAAATGCATGTTTGGAAGAAAACATATGCGAGTTTGGCCAATATCAAAGCAAATAAATCGGGTTTGGGATGAAATGATGTTTCAAAAAGCTTCTCTTGTGATGATGATAAGTACCAATCGTTGATGAAGGTTTGCTTAAAATTCCAACTCTGAATCGTCTATATATTTCACATAATTTACATATTCTCATTACATTTTTTTTTTGCGTCCCAACCTATCGCTAATAGGTTGATCCAAATGCGAAGGGACTGAGGAACAAGTCTTTCCCCCACTTCGATGATTGAGAGGTCATCTTCGGGAAAGACAGGGCATGTGGTGGTGATGCCCAGTCTTTCGCAGACGCGGCACAGGATGTACAGCAAGACCCGCCGTACGAAGAATACGATGAGATCCCTTCACAGACCACGCAGTCCACCCATGGCCCGGGCAATGATGCGGGTCAGTCGTCGGGTACGACATCTGAAAGTAATTCCAAGAGAGGGGGGAAGACGAGGGGCACCAAAAGGAGGTCCGCACACTTGGTGGACGATCGTTTCATCGATGTCATGTCTCGCTGAACACGGATGGCCGGTTGGCCGAACTCAGTGCCAGACTGGGCAACGAGCAAGCAGCACAGGCTCAGGCGACGCAGGCTCAAATGGGTGAAGTAATGGATGCGCCGGACTTTCAACTTTCTATCCGGTGAGGAGCGAATGGTGATATGCTTGCGTTTATGCAACAATGAGAGGGAGCTTGCTATGTTTTTGGGCATGGGGGAAGAGGATAGGGCACTCATGGTGAGGGTCATCCGCGATGGTCGGGGGTAGTGTTGCTAGTGGGAAATCGTTGTGTCGCGTTATGTTGTCCTTTTCTTGTGAACGGTGTGAACTGTTATTGTTGGTTTTGTGGTTTTGTGGTTGTTGCGACATGTGTTTGTAGTTTTGTTGGGATTTGTGAATGTATTTGTGGTTTTGTTGTCCTTATCCGGTGTGGTTTTGTTGGGATTTATGAATGTGTTTGTGGTTTTTGGGACATGATCAATGAACTGTTATTTTTTTTATTAGAATGGTCACCATGTATTGTTAGATTTTTTTACCTCTGTTTTTCTTCAACTTATTTATTTTATTTATTTTCTTTAAATTGTTATTTTCTTTATTTTTTCTTTAAATTGTTAGATTTTTTTTTTCTTCAACTTATTTATTCTTTATGCTATATCGCTCTTGCACGGTCACTATGGCTACTTACAATGAAAACCCGCCATGGGGGTGTTTTTACGTATATATGGACATGCCAGACTACCCCATCATGGTAAGTTAAACTTCATAACATGAGAAAAACTAATGACAAGAAAGAACCTCAAAACCTGAAAAAAACAAAGGGAAAAAAACAAAAGAAAAAAATGAAAGAAAAACTTCAAAACTTAAAAAAAAAAATGACAATACGAAATATAAACTTTCGTAGGACATTGAAGAAGCGGAATGTTACTTTGGGAGACACGTGATGTCTTTTCCAGTTACTCTCGTAACTGTTGAAGGCCGTCACTACCCAATGGACATCTGCAAAATTCGAGGTCCAAATGAGTACGACCCAAGGGGTAGTTTGCATTTTGCAAATGGTTGGCAACGTTACGTTCAATCGGAGGATATACGTCAGGGGTACTACTTGTATTTTGAACGGGATGAGTTCAGAACGTTCAACATGAAGGTCTATACTTGTAATGATATAGAGAGGCCTCCACAGAACCGGTTTAGCATCAAAATAAAAAAAAACTCACGTTGAGCGTGTTCTTTTGGTAAGTGAATGCTTTCATATTTTACAGTTACACCTTTCGTCAACATTGTTGTTGCATAATTAATAAAATGTTATCGTGTTTAATATTATTTTTTATTTTTAGTTGTTGTAAAGCCCATACCAATGTAATTTTGGAACGCACATATTGAAGG